CCGGAGAGCAGCCTGCGCAGCCCCGAGCGCCCCGCCGGCCGGTCCTCCCCTAGCCCGGACCGACCTGGTGCTTCGCGGCCGAGTCTGCAGGGCGAGCCCGGCCCGTCGCCCCGAGAGCCGGGTTGCGCGGCCCCGCTCCGGTGTCCCCGGCCCTGCTGCTGGTACCTGACTCTCCCCAACTCTCTAGGAAAAACCCCAATTTTCTGTAACCCGAGAGGGCGAAGGAAGGAGGAGGCGGCCGGGGGCGGGACGGGGCGTTGTTTTCTTTTGCAGCCAAGGAGGGGGAGGTAAATTCCGCAGAGGGGATGTCACTGCCCGAAAAGAGCGCGCGTCTCCGAGTGTGCATTCCAGCCTCGGCTTGGCGGAGAGGCCAGTGCTGTTCCTACACCCGCATCTGTCGTGCACGGTGACCTTGCCCAGCCGACCACAGCCGGGCTCCAAAGCCGAGCCCCTCTTTGTTCTCGCATTGTACTGCCTCGCGTTGTGCAGGTGCATTTGGACTCAAAATGAACCGGCTCACTTAACCAAAGCTTGGTCATGTGGTGTCAGTGTAAGGTCCCTTTTCTTTTTAACTTCACTGAAATATTTGCAGGCATAAGGCAAAGTATGTGTTACATATCTTTAGAAATATATGAGGCCCTCTACTTAAGAACATCTTAACTGGCACAAAAGGTCATTCAGCTAGTGGACTCTGGCTACTGTCCAAAGTAAAGAGCTGTCTCTGTCCTGCTAGCATTCAGACAGAAAAGGATTCGGCCCCATGTTTTAAAATAATAATGACTCGTGATGAGTGCCACCGCAGCAGGCTCAGGTAAGGCCAGCACACTAGGAGAGTAAGGATTTAATGTGGCCGGGCGTAGTGGCGCACACCTGTAATCCCACACAGCGGAGGCTGAGACAGAAGCCTTGCTGCCAGCTCAGAACCAGCCTGGACTACATAGAGAAATGCTCTCGAAGATAAATAAATAAATGAATGAAAGCTCTTTTTAGGGGATGCAGTTCAGTGGTAGGCCACGAGCAAGACCTGGGTTTATCCCCAACACTGCAAAAATAATAATAACCTAAGTTCTTGTTATAACACACGGTGTTTTGTTTCAGGTTGCAGCACTTAATAAAGATCACTTCTTTCTCTTTCTGGGCCAAAAAGAAAAGAAAAACAGGAACATTTAGCAATGTCTGGAGACGTTTCCAGTTGCCACTAATTAGGGGAAGTTTCTGGTGGCCAGAGGCCAGGTGTGTTGCTAAACATTCCACAGTTCACAGAGGACACTCTTCACTACAGGATCATCCAGTCCCAGCTGTTTGTAGTTACAAGAATGGGAAATCAGGCTTAAATTAATGCTCAACATGTTGTTTCATTTGCTGTCAGTCAGTGTTCTTCTGCTGGATGTGAATGGATGTCACAGAAGCACAACGTGCAGCTCCAGGCTTTGAGGGCAACTGGCTCTGGGCCTTCCCTGTGACAGGTCCAGGCTCTCAGCCGCCCCTACCAGCTCCTAAGCAGCTGCAGTACCCCTTGGCTGCTACCCAGAGCTCTGCCCACAGCTTCTGCTCCGTCTGCTGGGCTCCCCAAATGCTGCTGGCCTCTGCCAGTCGACTTGGCTGGTTAAAACTGGTCACTGCTGCTGGTCACTGCTGCTGGTCACTACTGGTTGATGCCGGTTGTGAGCCATTGTCTTCTAGTCTCTGCCGCTGATCTTTGTGTGTTTCAGCCACTGGTCTCTGGACTTCTGCAGGACTAGCAGACCCTGGTGTTTCTAGTTCTCTTTAAACATCATCTGCTCTGCCACACTACTCAGAGAAGCCTGGACCATCCAAACAAATCCCTAGCAGTTCTGCAGGACAAGGCAGACAGCTTTCTTTGGACCTGGGCTGCATGAAGAGGAAAGGAGACTGACACCTCCCAGAGGAAGCTGGCCTGATTAACCCAAGAAACTGGAAGGAGTGTGGCTTATATGGAGCAGCAGCAGGGCAGGGTCATCCAAAATTGGTCTGAGTGTCAAACCTTGACCCCCTAGGGCCATCCAGGATTGGCCAGAGAACAAAGTCAGCTGGGAGTGGTGAGCTCGCAAGCCTTCTGGGACAGAGTCATTTAGGATCATGGGACAGAGTCATCCAGGATTGGTCCAAATTTGAGGTTACTGATTGGTTCAAATTTAAGCCCTCTGCGGACCCAGCAGACATTTCCCAAAATGTTTGGGGGCATTTAGGTCAGCCTCAGCTGTAACTGTCAATCAAAATACACCCCCTTCTGGCTGTCAAGGAGAAAAAGGAGGACTTGGGACATTTCTGATCTATCTGTTTGATTTACTTATCATGAGAGAATGAATCCAAATACAACATACTGCTCACCTAACTTGACAACAGTAAACAGGCATATGATGACTTTACACAACCATATAACAATCACTTCATTCTGCTCATTGGTACATTCAACATCATTTGGGTGCCGTCTTTGCAGGTAAAAAACATCTGAAATGTAGAAAGCTGAGTAAACAGTAAATGTAAGTTACTTCTGAATCATAGATATTATTGTGTATACTTTTTAAAATTTTTTAAAATCTTTTATTTATTTGGTACAGGGTCTTGCTAGGAAGCTTGGATTCATAGTGATCTTTTTCTCTCAGCCTCCCCAGCCCTGGGATTACAGGCCTGCACCAGCACCCCCACTTTCGGTGGCTGGGAGAGCAGCACGGCGTGTGGTACTAGGGATGGAATCCGGGTCCTCCACTTGCCAGGCAGGCACTAGGACCACTGAGCTAGCTCTCCAGCCCAATTTTTTTTAGAAGATTATGCATTTCCCACTAAATTATAAGGGTATTACCCACACCCATCATGCTGTCTGTTCCTTTCTCTGGCAGTTTTGGCCTCTGATTACTCATTTTAGGATAGTACTCTTGCGCATCTACAAATTTCTGTTACTAACTGTTCTTTTACAGGTTTGGGTTTTTTTGTTTTTGTTTTTGGATTGTTGTTGTTGTTGTTGTTGTTTGAGACAAGGTCTCATTATGCAGTCCAGGCTGGCCTTTAACTCACTAGTAGCCCAGGCTGGCCTTGAGCTCCCATCAACCTCCTGCCTCAGCCTCCAGAGTGCTGGGATTATAAGTGTGCACCACCACACCTGGCTCTGAATATTTTACATATATTTCAAAATCGAGATATACATCAAATTTTAAACCATCTGAAATTTGACTTCGTCGACACAAATACTTACAAAATTCAGTATTAACGTCTTAATGCATCAGAAGTAAATTTGAGGGTCTGAGGGTTGGCCAGATAGCTCAGCAGAGGCCATCCTGGATTGGCCGGAGAACAGAGTCAACTGGGGTTCAATCCCCAAAGGGACTGCCAGCCTCACCCCTGGGGCTCACTGAGATGGCGAATGAGACTGGGCATGGTGGCACATGCCTGTAATCCCAGGGCTTGGGAAACTGAAAAACAGTGAGACCCTGTAGACCCTGTACTAAATACATAAAAAGAAGGGGGGGGGGGGGAAAAGAAAAGAAGAAGAAGGGGCCGGAGAGATGTCTCAGTAGAATAAGTGCTTCCCTGGCAAGCGCAAGGACCTGAGTTTCAATCCCCGGTTCCACCAAAAAAAAAAAAAAAAAAAAAAAAAAAAAAGAAAAGAAAGAAAGAAAGCAAGCAAATTTGATAAACTCTTTAGGCAAATACACCATTAGATCTATTTGGAGGCCTCAATGTTGGAGACACTCAGTGGCAAAAGATAAAGATGTGAACTGAACTCAGGAAGAGATGTTATTAAACACTAAACTCCATCTTCAGACTTCTACCAAAATCTACCATCTGATCAAAACCAGTCTGGCTAATAGCAGCTTTAATCTCTTTCATCATGGTTATTACTATGTTTAACAGTTATCAACAGTTTATTGTTTTAGGTGTTTTTTTTTTTATTTTAGGGAAGTGTCTACAGGGTGTTCAGGGTCTCACTACTAGATCTGACTCGAAGTGATCCGCCTGTTTACAGCCTCCCAAGAGGTGGGAGTACAGGCGCATACCACCAAGCCCAGTCTCAATTGCAGTTTCAGTGGCAAAAGATAAAGATGTGAACTGAACTCGGGCTGGGTGCCGGCACAGCAGGCCCCAGGATCGAATCTCTGGCCCCTGAGCCTGCTTGCTATTTGGCTGGCCCTAGGCTTTTCTTTTGCTAAGCTTGTTCTAAGTAGGTGCTTTAGACCACTGACCCATCTCACCAGCCCAAGGGGAATATTGTAAACTGCAACAGATTTCTTTTTTTTTTTTTTTTTTTTTTTTTTTTCCAGAACCGGGGATTGAACTCAGACCCTTGCGCTTGCCAGGGAAGCGCTTATTCCACTGAGCCATCTCCCCAGCCTCCTGGCAGGTTTTAAAACAACTGTTATGTTAGAGCTGAGGATGTAGCTCCTGATGCAGCACTTGCCTAGCATGTGGGTGCCATGGGAGGGGCTGGGTGCCATGGGACGGGGCGGGAAAATGATCATTAATGTAATCTTAGCTCTCTCTCAGGCCATCAATCAAGAGTGATGGATCTTACGAAATAAATATTAACTAATTAAATGAACTGAAGGGCCAGCAAGATAGCTCAGGAAACTAATCACCTACTTAGGCAAGCACAGAGACGGAAGTTCGATCCCCAGCACCACATACTGCGCTGGCCCCGCCCCCAGGCATGCTGAGCACATTGAACTGGCCACCGAGACCAAGAATGGCGCTGCGTGCCCACAATCCCGCACTGCAGAGGCTGAAAACAGCAGGATCACTATGAGTCTGAATTGCATAGTGAGACCCTGTACCAAGTACATTTTAAAAAAATTTAAATGAACTGATTCTTACCCACTTTAATTGCAGGAGGATGGAAAACTGACACTGAGCTGCCAAAACAAATTTAAATAATTGATGATTTGTGCAAACTATGTAAATAGAGCTAGCTTTATTTGGAATTACTGTAAACATCTGAAAAACTGCCTCCCACTAGTTGAGGTGGTGTGTGTCTATCTGGTCCTCGGGAGACTGATGCCGAAGCATCACGTGATTTCAGGAGTTCAAAGACTTGCCTGGACACATGGACCCTATCTGTTGAAAATAAAATTAAAGGGGCTGGGGAGATAGCTCAGCGGTCTAAGTGCCTGCCTGGCAAGCTCAAGGACCTGGGTTCATTCCCTGGTACTGTGTGCCCTGCTGGCCCTGCACAGAGCCAGCCACTAAAACCGGGCGTGGTGGTACAGGTCTCTAATCCCAGTGCTGGGGAGGATGAGACAGGAGGA